ATTTCGTGAGAAAGGCAAACTCTCATCATGCAATCCTGAGGGATGAGAAATACACTCACAATCCTTTTCCATTACTCGTTGTGCAAGGAATAAGGACATTTCATCCCGATCTTGGATATATTTGACAATTTAATAGGTAAAGGATAAAGGAAGATCATACCAAAAGAAATACAAAGAAACCATCGCACTTTCATCTCGGATACAATCTAACTAACCAAGATGTAAAGAAAAATAAATACAGGGTGTCCATAAAGTTCATGTGCACTTTAAAAAATTTATAACTTTATTTGTATTTGCGATAGAAATAATTTGTAAAAAGGATTAGAAAGAAGTAAATCTATATTTTTTACGGTTTTATTGAAATTTTATTTAAGTTTTCTACATGTCCTTCATCAGTAGCAATACAAAGGGTAATACGCTTTTGAAAAAAAGAAATTTTTTTTGCTTATCTAAAAAATTGTTGCCAATTTTGTGGTAAATTTTAATTAATCAATAACTATACTTAAAACTAGGTACATTAAACTTTATAACATTTTTTTACAGATTATTTCTATCGCAAATACAAATAAAGTTATAAATTTTTTAAAATTGCACACGAACTTTATGGACACCCTGTATTATTCCGGAATCTTATATTTCAAATTGCGGAAGAAAGAACAACCAACTTTTTGTGGACATTCTACAGTAACTTTGCCTGTCTGTCATTACGAACATTCTAACTCCCAATTTCTGAAACACAAACGTTTGAACTGACATCAGTTTTAACTGATATCAGTTAAAATATTTTTTAAACGTGATCTTTTATTAAGTGTTCTTTTATTAATTATACATCTGTCATTCCATACTTTTTTCCATATTTTGTATTTTTTATTTTTGTTATATATAATTTATTTACAAATGTTAATCTTGACGTTTGTTGTTCGTCGGCACCTGTTCGTATGTTCCTATCTGGGCGAATGTTATGTCAAAGTTGTTGTGGAGTTATTTCGCAGTGGAAACTTGTATTTGTACTAAATCGGTGCTGAATAGTTCGACGTACAAAACGTTAGGAACTTGATTTAATAGGTATTACGCAGAGTAATCTTTGTTGTGGTCGCTGACTACTTTCGTATTTGACTAACTGTTTACTACTGTCGTCCGACATCAACGCTATTTAGTAACTGCCCCCATTTCAGTTACATGTATACAAGGCCCTAATTTACGGTAGGTTTCCCGAGCCCGTAGGTTCGGCCAAAAAAATAGACCCTTTATAAACGAGATCGGGTCTGTCTACCCCCCCCGGACGAGACTCTGCCCTTCGGCATAGCCTCGTCCGGGTTCCTCACCTTTCGGGCAGAGTGTTTTTCTAAAAATTTTCATCGATTAGTATTTAGTCACCCCCACGAGGGTATCATGGGCACAAGGCCGGTTTAACGTGGGATCTCTGAGCCCGTGGGCTCGGCCAAAAATATAAAATTGAACCCGTATAAACGGGTTCAGGGTCGGTTTTTATTCACCGAACGAGACTCCGCCCTTCGGCGTAGCCTCGTTCTGGTTCCTCACCGCCAGAAGGCAGAGAGTTCAACCGTTCAGCCGGTCGTCCGATATCGACTGACCTTCGTTTCTCTTACTACTCCTACTTTTCATTGGGTGGGAGAGTCTATTAACTATAGAATAGGCGTGTTTCACCATAACAGCGAACCCACCTGTTTTTTTTTTTTTCTGTTTTTTCTATTTTTTTAATCTGGGGTTCATATCATTATACGTTTTGAATTCAAAACAATTATGATTCTCCCATTCGCATTAATAATACAAAACGATGAATAGGCCTTTAATTACAAAATAACATTTCAAACTACGAGTCACTTGGGGTATCTGTTTGCGACCCATGAAAACATTGTGCATCGCACCCTGGCGCTGTAAATTTTCCTAATAAAAATATATATTATAAGTTGAGACTTACACGACTCATTAGAAATGCTTGCCAAAATTCAAAGAATAATCTGCAATATTATTGGTCCTGATCTGGCATCTCAGCCTCAGTCATTTTCTCCGTTGCTGTAATTTAGCTTCCCTGTATCATTTCTATAAATATTTTCATGGTAATCTAAGGAAGCGCGGTGGAGTAATGGATAGCGGCTCAGATTGAGGAATCGGAGAAAAGAGATCGAATTTCAGTCGTATTCATTACATTCACTTACCTTAATATCCTTGGGAAAATGTATGAATCCTACTCTTCTCCACCCAGCTATGGGTAAATAGCAGAACAGTTTCTATCGCCTTGGATAGCAACTGGTCTACCGCAGAAAAAAATGACCACCTACGGGAAAAAATCTGCCAAGTCAGCCATGTGTCGAAAGATACATTCGCCTAAGCGATGTATCGCTCATGGCACATAACTGACTTTTTTAGATTGGATTGGAGGTTTCTTCATTTTTACTGTTGAAATAGCTAGATATAACCGTAAGTTCTATGTTAACAAGTTCTTCTTTTTACGCTTATCGCATTCAATTTTCCTTCCCGGCTTCTCGCTTTACATTCAACATCGATTTTCAAAATGTAAATGTAATGTCAATGACTATCATCTGTCTTCTTAAATTCTGTTCTTTTATTGTTCTCGCTCCTTAATACTTTCTCTTTTTTCATATTTTTTTCACGCTTAGTAACCCCTTGCATCTTAGTGGCTTTTATTGCCTTGCTTTGGGTGAAATGATTAAAAAATATAAATATACCCTAAAAATTTGATAGAGATTTCTTAGTTAATACGAAATTTATGGTGACAATATTCTTTTATATAATAAAAATACGGACATCTAATGCATTGTTGTTAGCAAAAATATGAGCCCAAACATGCAAATTACGGAATGGAGGTTCAAAATAAAAAAAAAAAGAAAAAAAACACTCTGAAGTGGATAGAAGACGTACAGTGCGATACTGAATTCCGAAAAACCTTAGGATACCCAAAGATGCTTGTCAAAAGCTAAGCAGAGTATTAAGAAGCATAAAAAATTGATAGAAACAAAGAAAAGAGTACTGAAATGTTATGTAATATCAGTCTTCCAATATAGCACTGAACATTGGACAATCTCACAGATGAAGAAGAGACTTGCAGTAATAGAAATGGGGTTCTACAGAAGGATGTTGAGTATACCATAAACTGAACATGTGAACAACGACGAAGCTTTAGAAAAATGGAAATAAAAAAACTTATACTTAACATCTGGAAGAGACAGTTGAAATTTCTAGGGCACATAATGAGGAAAGAAGGCTTGGAAAATCTGATACTCACATAACAGATTGCAGACAAGAGGAAAGGGAAAAACAACACATAAACAACTTAGTGAGCTTCATTTAATGAATTTCTAAAAATAAGTTTTAACAGAAATAACAAAAAAAATTAAGAGCTATCAAGGACAGGAAATTGTGGAGATTCATGGTCACCTACACTATGAAGGAACAAAACACAAATAGAAAAAAAGTATCAAAAGAAAAAGAAAAAATTTAAGAAATTGTATGAATAAAAATAGAAAGAAATAAAATAAATTATTTGAATAGGCAAATAAAAAAAAGAAAAAAAAAGAAAAGACAAAAGAAATATGAATAAGCAAACAGAAAAGAGAAATAAGAAAAATTAAATAATTTGGTTGGTGCATAATTATCAGGCGTTTTTCGTAGGCGAGTTATTTGTTAATAAAAAAAAGATTTTGTTTACTTTTTTTTTTAAATAAATAAATTATTTTTTATTTTCAGGTTATAAAAATCCGTGTCGATAATCATAAGCTCTGGAATAATCATTTAAAAATGTTATTGTTGAATTGTTATGTTTCTTTTTCATAATAAATATTGTTTAAAAACGCCTGATAATTATGCACTAACCCAATATATGAATAAGCAAAATAAGCGAAATAAATTATATGAATAAGTAAATAAACAAGAAAGAGAAAGAAAAGACGAAATATTTGTTATATAAGCAAATAAACAAGAAAAGAAAAGAAAAGACGAAGGAAATTATATAAGCAAATAAACAAGAAAGAGAAAAGAAAAGACGAAGGAAATTATAAAGCAAATAAACAAGAAAAAAAAAGAAAAGACGAAGGAAATTATATAAAAAATAAACAAGAAAGAGAAAAAAAAACGAAGGAAATTATAAAGCAAATAAACAAGAAAGAGAGAAAGAAAAAAAACGAAGGAAATTATATAAGCAAATAAACAAGAAAGAAAAAGAGAAAGACGAAGGAAATTATATAAGCAAATAAACAAGAAAGAGAAAGAAAAGACGAAGGAAATTATATAAGCAAATAAACAAGAAAAATGAAAAAAAAGACGAAGGAAATTAAGGAAATTAACAAGAAAGAAAAGAAAAGACGAAGGAAATTAAAAGAAGAAAACAAAAAGAAAAAAGGAAAAGACGAAATAGATGATATGAATAGGCAAATAAAAAAAAAGAAAAGAAATGAATAAAAACAAATAGAAAGAATGAGACAAAGAAATAAAGATATTTTAAAAGCTACGAAAAAATATGTTTTAAAGATTATATTAGCTACAGATTAGTCCCTTCATAACACCATAATTAAACTACTTTACTAGGCTAACAATCTGTTTAAGGTATTGCTCATTCCCTGGCAACTATTGCCTATCCTTTGCGTGTAGCTGGCAAAATAGCTAAGAGCCATTTGCTTCAGTCTGCGTCAATAATTAGTACGCTCGCAAAAAAAAAAAAAAAAAAATTATCACATTATCAGTAGGGAAGGAAACGAATATCCATAGTTTGACTGATTCGTTTTTTACGGCATATCAACCCTTTTGCAGTTTATTTAAAGCCAGAAAAATAATTTCAGTTTGTAAGAACATTTTTTTTTTTATAATAATTGTTTTAGTGATACAGGTCTTCCCAATGAACGAAGAGTGTGATTTATGGTTTCCCAATTTAAGGGAATATAAAGAAGCTAAGAGGAGAAAAAATCGGCTTTCCTTTGAACAAGTCCGCGCCAATTATCCATTACACCACCCACACATCTAAGCTTACAGCACCTGGTATTCCCAAACGGTCATCCATAAAGGTATGACCAAACTCGACGTTGCTTAACTACGGAAAACGTACGGGAACCGGTTTTTCAACGTGATATGGCCATAAATCAGACTACCTCAACCGAAATTCGAATTCGATTTTCTTATTCAATTTTTATGTTCTTATAACAGGGTTAGCTGATTCATGCCTTTCCTGAATGTGTTAGGCAGGGAACCATATTTTCCTCAAATTTTATAAAATGAAATTTATTAAATAAATTTGTACCTTGCCTAATTCATGCCAAAACACTTGTACATGAAACGATCAAACCACAGCAGATGACTAGGAATACGAGGGTCGGTTGAAAAGTTCATAGGCTGACCAAGATAGTCTCATGGGATGTGATAAAATGAGGTTTATTTTTCAACTAATTCCGCCTTTCGGTCCACACAATTCTTTCATCAGTATTGCCGTTGCGTGGATCCCATTGGTGAAGAGCTTTCATCCCTTTGGTCCAAAAAGTCATCAACAGCAGATATGACATCATCATCACTGCGATAAACATTTCCCATTTATTTGTTTTATCATGTTGGGGAACAGATGATAGTCAGATGAGGCTAATCTGGAGAATAGAGAGGGTGATCAAACAGGTCAAATCCACGTTCACGAACAGCATCCGTTGACACTAAGAACTTGTGTGATGGAACATTGTCCTGAACAAACAAGAACCACTTCGTCAGTTTTCATGGGAATTTGGTCTTGATAACCTTTCGTAACTGCCTCAGCAAGTTGGCATAGTGCTCTCCATTGATAGAGTGGCCCGTTTGATGACAAATAAACTCAATACATTTTGCATCCTCAAAACCTGAGGGCATCCTTTTCTCTGCAGATGAAACGATTTTGCATTTCTTTGGAGCAGGTGAGGTAGTGTTTCCATTGCATGTACTGTCTCTGACTTAGTCATGAATCAAACACAAATCCTGGGTTAAAAACCGCTCAAAATAACCAGGTGGATCTGCCTCAAACTGTAGAATAACAATACAATAAACAGCACTTACCTGCGTAAGGGTCCCAGCTAGCGTCCAGCTGGCAGACAAAAATAAAGCAGTTTGTAACTCAATACAAACCCTGCAAACTAACTGATGAATCAAGCTGGTATTTATACAGAAATATCTCCACTCATGTACCAGCAGCCAATCACAGCCCAAGCAATGGACTATCCCACTTTAGCACAATGAGATGCTCCATGGCACCATAATTAGCTCTCTTTCTCAAGGTTGAGTCATTATTAACTCAGCTTGCTCCACAACTGAGTGTTTATCTTGACCGCTTGATTGTTCTACACAAACAATGTCAGATATTTCTGTAAAGTTATCAGCCTGGTGCGCTTTTGATCAGATGTCAGAAGACGTGGCACCAACCGAGCAGAAATCTTCGTCATGCCAAGTTTATTGAGTAGACTTTTCTAAACTCTCTCGCGGGATATTATATTAGCATTAACTATTTGATTTATAGTCAATCGCCTATCACGCATCAACATGTGGGGAACAGGATCAATGTGGTGGCAGTTGCAGGACTTCCAGATATTGGGTCATATTCAAGATTTTCTTTTACATTCCTAAATTTAGCTGTCCACTTCTTCATTGTTGATAACGCTGGAACGTCATGCCCTAATATAGCAACCATGTCAGCATAAACGTCCTTGGAGTGTAAACACTTTTTCTACAGGTACTTGATGCCGAATGTTGTCCATTTTCAAGAGATGTCGCTACTAATTGCATTATAAGTTTTCTTTGAACAGTCAGATGTCTGTTTACCTGGAAATAAACAATGATACAGTTATTAATAAGAAGAGTTGAAATTAATGCATGGAATATTTCACAGCCGATGAACTTTTCAGCCCAGATTTGTAATATCCACCACCCACCGAAAAAAAAATTGCACTCTTCCTTCTGTTAATGTGGGGCGAAATAATTTTATCGTGTGACGATGCGCTTCTACCAATGAGCTCCGGCTTGATGATACCCCTCCTCCCACTTCTGGGCCGCTGCGCCTCTCCCTCAGAATTTAATGACCCTCTTGTGACCTTCATTTTGTTAATGGAACATAAGCTCACCCCAGACCTCAAGAGGAACTCGTATATACGCGATCGCGTAGGGGCACCACATGACCGCAGTATCTGTCTATATTTCTGAGATGAGGTATTATGTACATTATTTACATTATTCGGACTATTATCCTCATCTTTGTCGTCATATTTACCACAACGTTTCGGCCGTTGTACGCTCCGGCCGTTGTACGCTCCGGCCGTTGTACGCTCCGGCCTGCTTCAGGTGGTTGGAATGTCGAACTGAACCCTTTATTTCGTTCACTGGGATAGACTGTTCTAGCTCTACGTGCCATGTTTAATGGATGTCAGTTATCAGTTATCTCATGTTAATTTCCCTCAGTTAAGTTCTACACTGCCATAACCGGGTATTGAACTCACACTCTTTGGGTCCTGTCACTGAATTTAACTAACGCCTTTATCCACTGTGCCATGCGTCCTAGGTTATATATCCTACATAACCCTTGTAACATGTAACCCTTGGTCCCTCCCTATACGCCCTTACAACATCCCCATTTAGTAACCCTCTACATTGAGTGACACTTAGGCCTTGCATGGGGTGGAGTGTAGTAATGATAATGATCTTGTTTTAATGTGTGCTATATATATGGGTAAAAGTGTGCAGTATCAGGATAGAGCTTGTTTATTTCAGATTGGCTGATTTTATTTACAGTCCTATCAACCACAATAGGTTATTTAATGCCGAAATTTAAATAATTTTGAGATAGTTTGATTCCTTCAAATATAGTCAAACTGTTTCGTTGGTCATTTTGCTTTAAAAATGTATTGTTGGTCATTCTACTATAAATAAGTATTGTTAGTCATTTTTTAATATAAAAATGTATTGTTGGTCATTCTACTATAAATAAGTATTGTTAGTCATTTTTTAATATAAAAATGTATTGTTGGTCATTCTACTATAAATAAGTATTGTTAGTCATTTTTTAATATAAAAATGTATTGTTGGTCATTCTACTATAAATAAGTATTGTTAGTCATTTTTTAATATAAAAATGTATTGTTGGTCATTCTACTATAAATAAGTATTGTTAGTCATTTTTTAATATAAAAATGTATTGTTGGTCATTCTACCATAAATAAGCATTGTTAGTCATTTTTTTTAATATAAAAAATGTATTATTGGTCATTTTACTATATGTATTGTTGGTTATTTTTCCTTAAAAATGTATTGTTGCTATTTTGCGCATGGGGACAACAGCAATTAAGGTCTAGTTCCACGTAGAGCGTATGTAAATATTATATATATATATATATATATATATATATAGGAAATCCAGTTGATATATAATCCAAGTGAATTCTATATTAATATAATATAAATTAAAATCTTAAAACTGATTCACAGAGAGAGCTCAATGTTTTATTCAAACAGAGCATATATATTATAAACAATGCGAATTAGGATTACTCCACAATATTGATGATGATCATTTCACCTTATAAATTAAAACGAGTTTACAAGGATTTTCCAATCCATCAGCTTAATAAGAAAAATCAAAATGGAACTAACTTAAGACTAATTTTAAATGCCAAGCAGAAACAAAGTAAGGAAAAACGGAAGGAAGAAAGAAAGAAAGAAAGACTAAAAGGAATAGTGTGAAGACAAGTAAGACAGAGGAGGAGGTGGGAAAGGAGAGTATACAGGGAGTAGTAAGTCTAGACATGGTAATGGTGTGAGGAGTTAGATACATGTAAACTCCCCGGATTTCAATCAGTAAAATTATTTTCAATAATCTTATATTTACAAATTACTACCAATTCAAAATTAAGAGTTATAATTATATATTTATATTAATGAGAAGGAATTCTTGAAATTAACACACACACACACACATATATATATATATATATATAAAGATTAAAAAACATATAATGATTTAATTATTTTCATTTTAGTAGATGTATAAGTCAATGTTGTTCATTTTAAATTAAAAGGAACATAGATTAACATATACTAAACTATTACCATCTACAAGAATAACCAATAATAGAGGAAGGATAATTGAAAAAAGAAAAATCTACGCTTACAATTAGAAAAATAATGCAGCGTGTAAAAATAGAGTCGGATTAATTAATAAAAACAATATATAAATTATAATTAAGTAAATAAAAGGCGTAATTGATAAATAAACAAAGACATATAAAGAAAAAAGATATATAATAATTAAATAATATAAACAATGTATACAATTATTATATAATTATTATATCATTGTTAAAATATTACTACATTATTAAATAATATTATTATAATTAAATATTACTAAATAATATTATATTAAATAAAATATTAAATGGTATTATAAATATATTAAATATTATTATAATGAAAATACTACTTAAAATATAAATACCTCATTAAAACAAATAAACAATATTATTAATTTGAATTATTAAATCATACATCATTACACTAAATAATACTATATCCCTATATCATATATCAATATTGAATATTAATTAACATCACTATACTATATAACATCATATATTATATTAAATGATACTATTTTATTATTAATTATATCAACACATCATAAATAATCCTATTATTTTAATTAAAATTAAGAAAAAAAATTAATTAGGACCTTTATCAAATATTATTATTATTATTAAATACAATTTTATAACTACAACTAATACAATTATAATTATATTTTAACGTACATAATTAAACAAAATTTTGCAATAATATTATACAAATTTCTATATTATTATTATAAAATACTAAATATATAGAAACAATGAAAGAAATGGATATAATAATTAATTATTGATATATATGTACATAAATTGCCATCCGCAGACAGATTGTTTCGCAGCTTCATGGCTAGACATCTTAGTCGGGATCGAAACTCAACTGATATGGCATCAGTCGGAGATTTTATCACTGAGCTATCAGCGCTCGCTAGGGTGAAAGCGAATTTTTACGTATCTATTCTTCGAATAAACACGTCAATGGCCGAGAGGGCTTAATTCATGGAAGAGCTTTTCAG